CTCTTCATATTATCTATATGACCATTGAACAGTACTTTACTGTTGATTGTATCGATTAAATAGGTGCAGTTGTAACTACCTAGCTATAATTGTTCACATTTTTGACAAAACGTTTTGGTACCTACTCTAAAAAGTATCCCTTGAAGTAAAGGTGTAGTAGATAGTAGGTACTTAGAATACCAACACGGTGTCTGGGCCCTGGAAGTGGAGTATAAGTATAGCGGGACAAATTCACCAGCCATCATTTTTTTTTGGGGGGGGAGGGCATAAAATCTTAGGGTGAAATGTGTAATAATATATAGATGACAAGCCGTAACACAATATTATATTGTTAACGCCTCGTAATTTGTCCGGTTTATCATTGGTCTGTCGTCTGTGAGAATATGTGATAGGTACTATAATCAAATTAAATACTGAAATAATTCGACTAGTACAAGACAAAATGGGCTAAGTGACAGTTTTACAACTTTTCAATAGAGCAGAAACAACATTTTTATATGTTCTTAACTTTGGCGTTAGGGCTTCGGTTTTTATTTAAGTTTTAGAAATTAATTTATTATATATTTTAATTCCATTTTATATTAAATTGATGGATACTAGTTATATTGAAATGTTTAGATAATATTTAAACACAAAGAGTTATGTTAAGATTTACTATTTTTTGACACTTAGCTCTGTTTTTTGTTTTTTCATTTTTTATGAAGGGCGCTTTTACCCTAATTTAAATATGCAATAATTATTGCAATAATAATATTTTCTTTTGAATAAATGCCTACTTTTGATTCGAAAATCTGTGATTGATGTATTTTTTTTTTTTATAATATTTTATAATATTATTAAGCATTATAAAAAAATATATTGAACACCTCTTTATTCACAAAAATATTTAAAATGTTGAGTAAAAAATAACAATAATACAATTATTAATATGTACTAGTACAATACTAGTAAAATAAAATTATAGTTTCACTTTATTATGACAAATAAAAATTTTGGAAAATCTTATTAACAAGTTAAATACAGTCCTTCAGTTTCATTAATAACAGTCTACATCAACAAAGTATAAACCTTAAATAGATTTACCTCCCATGTTTAGTTAATAAACAGGTAAACGGACAATATTGGTCTCCGCACAAAAATGTAGTGTGCGTCGGTCCCCATCATAATTGTATATATTATGGAAATTATTATTGGTCCCGGTCAGGTTTTTTTTCCGAGATATTGAAAAATTGTTTTTTGTAATTCATTAATTTAAGTTAGATTTAAGATAGTAAAGTATTGAACTTAAAAAGCAACAATTGCAGAATTTGAAACAACGTATTTTAAATGTCAACAACCAACGTCAGTAATTTTATGAAACCTATAATAAGCGATAAAGAAAAAAACATGTTATCTATTTGTATTAGTTTTAATACCTATTAACTCTTCAGAAGATGAATTTTTAAATAATTTGTATAGTCCAAGTAGATATTAATATTAAACATTGAAAAACATTTTAATACTTATTTTTTAAAATTATTATTTGAATTATATTAATACAAATGTATTACATTTAATGTACGAACGTTTTATGTTTAAAAAAATGTTATTTTGTATTTAACTTTCAAGCCTGGGACAAATATTGTCTGTGTATAAAATTATGATGTGGTCCAACTGTTCGCTACAGCGATTTTTCGTGGGGACCAATGGTTCTAGATCTCATAAAACATAACTCACAATATTGAAGTTTTTATGATAGTCCATCCATCCAATATTGATAACATAGTATAATATTGTGACAAAAGTAAAATTATAATATATACAATAACTAATTTTTTTATCCAACGAATAAAATCATAATCTATAATCGATCATGAATAATACAAATAAAATTATTGTTTTAAATTATCAATGTGAAATGTGCAGGTATAAATAAATTAAACTACAACAATACTAACGATTTATATATTAAAATATGATTACCTTCCCATGTTGTTTCGTTGTTTAGTCACAACTCATCGCGAAAAACGAATAAATAAAAGTAAAATAAAGAAAAATACTTTGACAGATCACAGATTGTACACGATATCTTAAATGAATAATATGTAGGGTGATAAGATATAATAGTTAGTACAGTGATTAACTGGTCGATTTAACGAAACACAGAACCATTATTTGATACTTAGTAAAAGGATAAACTGCAATGATAGCTAAAAAACCACAATTATCAGTTTCACATACATACACACAAATATACTCATTAATTAGGTACTTATGTAATATTCAATAATACAGTTAAGTAACAGTTAGGTCTCAATGTTTCATGCAGTCATACACAATATATTATTTTAGAAAAAACACATAATCGCAGTTAACAGAAAGGTCGGTGAGCTATGATATAACACGCTAGTCGCTAAGTACCTACCTACTTATAAAAGCCTATTCCATTATTTACAACACTACAAAGAATACATTTAAAACAGGTAATACTGTGATAGGAATAATGAAAAACTTGACAGGTACCAAATATTAATAGTGATTTTATGTGGCAAAATAATCGGAATGTTGACTACATTGTACCCATACGTATTTTTTTTATGTTAAACGCAATTATTAAATATTGAAATGTATATATTTTTCAGTTATTTATTTTAATTTATAAAGTTTACCTACCAATCTTTGGATAAAAATCCTGAGATTCTTCCAGGTGTTAAACTGTTAAATAAATAAATAAAATAATAAATTATAATAATAAATAAAACAGTACTCAATTATAGTATTCAATGACAAGATTAAAGTATGCCTACGTAAGTAAGCAAGACACAAAAGGTTCGATGTGTTGAATGGGAGATTGGGGAGAGGGGAGTGTTCTAAGGTTCACAGACTGTACGTGGTGAGCATCGGTGTTTTCACTAATAGTTAATAATTAAAATAGCTGATAAACGGTAAAATACCACAGCACACCATGTATACACCATATTATATAGTATTTCAAATGTAATAATATATAATATACAATTATGTATTTTATTTAGACTATATTATATACAATATAGTGTAATATTATCTAGTTGGCTTCGCTACTATGTTCGGACCACTCTCCAATGGTTTATTTTACGTGTTGACAATTCAATTTGTTTATGTTTAAAGAATTTTCGCGCCAAATTAAAATTAGAAACACGTAAAATACAGTACTTCTCAACTATAAAAATTTTATAAAACGTGTGATTGTCAACTTACCACCACTGTCAAAAATCTAATGCCATCTAAATCGAGTAATAGTCGATTAAAATAAGGTAACTTTTAGCTTATAATATTAAATCAACATAACTTTATAGGCGTTATACACCTGACCTACGTCAGATACTTCTATGTAATATATTATAGACTGCAGCCATAGTTCCATCCATTCTCACTGAGTATGTTAACAAATAACAATTTATTATTTAATTATACGTCATTCACCATAAATGAAAATATAACTCACTGCCTATAAATATGTCCTTAAAATAAAACCATCTATACTTTATAGTTAAATATGTTTTATTAGATTAAAATATAGGTTTGTGTGAAAAAAAAATGAACCATCCCTAAGTGGGAGTATTATGGAACTATATGTAGATTTCAAGTCTATATTATAATATTACCTACTATCATCGTTTTGGGTGTACGTTTATTATTTACGAACCAGTCAGCCAGGACTTTTTTTATATATGCAGACTATGATAGTTGTATAACCCGTTTAAAAAATGAATGAACATAAAATACAGCGCTATATTGGTGTATCCAATATCCATAGTCGCAAATATTGGGAGACTAACCTCCCTCATCCTAAATCGCAAACACTATTTTCGCCTATGAGTGTATCTCTGTTTTAGTGTACCTCATATTTCACTGGATAATGGTGGCATCTAATTACCTCGCTTTGTGAACTGATTCTACTGAGATGGGCAATGTGCCTGCAGAGGATTGGATAACACTTAGTATATTTTTGAACGTGGTTCAAACTATTTTCTAAATTTTTCTGATACATCTAACTCATCTAAGACTAATCTCTGAAACTTTCGTTAAAATTAAATATGGTTCGTTGGTAATCGTTTGAAAACTGTTTGACCAGTTTGGCTCTTTTTAATGTTCATGATTGTCTGGTTAAGATTTTTACGGAAAGAAAAATTGGAAAAATGTTGTTATTTAAAAATGGTTGCCATTGGTTACATCTTATAAATTATAATTTAATTTACCTACCTACCTAATAGAAGAAATTAATATTTTTTTGGTTTATATATCATAAATGGTGGCCATTGGTTATTAGGGCGCATGAGGTAAAAACATGCATCAAATCGTCCCTTTATGACCTTGAATAAAGAAGTCATATCTTAAAACAAATACTACTCGGTAATTTTAGAATCGGTTCAATAGTTACAGAGATTACCCCCTACATATTATAAACAAATGTTGCCTCTTTATAGTTTCAGTAGTTATAATAGAGATCACCCTCTAATCTGTACAAAAAAATGTTACCTCTATATAGGTAATATTAAGTGTGTCGGTGCCGGTTTTTTCAATTTTATAAAATTCAATAAAATTTGAAAATCGTATTTTACATTTTAGTTACTACCTTAATAACAGGGGCGTCATTTCACATTTTAAACTGAGGTGGCAAGACGTATCGGGTGGTAAGGAATACTCCCTGGGGAAAGGGGGTCCGAGGGATATTCCCGCCCCCTTCCCGATTTTTTTTTTTCAAAAACTGGCTTTAAATTTCTTATTTTTTGAAACTCATTCAGACTATTTCTGTAAAAATTTAATTGCTAACAATTTATCCTAAAAAAAATAATTTATAATGACTTGAATTATTAATTAAACCGCATGTAAAATAATTATCGGTCACACACAACATAAAAATGTACCTAATTTTAATTGATGTGTGCCTGGCCCATTTGCTTATAAAAAAAAGGATAAATCAAGTAAACATGATAAAAAAAATTTTTTTTTTAATTTATAGCATACTTTAATTATTTTTACACAAAATTAAGTCTTCTCTTCTGGCTTAAATTAAAGTCGTCGATTACTTTGGAAATGTTTACTTCAATACTTCTTTCAATAGCCAAAAGTGCTAACGAGGACAACCTCTCCTGGCCAATCTTGTTTCTGGTGTATGTTTTTAACCGTCGCAAGCACGAAAAAGACCTCTCACAAGATGCCGAGTTCATTGGAATCGTGAAAAACAGACGAAAAAGTTTAAAAAGCATAGGGAACACATTTTTTAAAGATTTTTGTACAAAAATGTCAGCTCTTTCTTGAATAGTTGTGTTTCTTGATTCTTCCATTTTCTAACTTCCCAGGAAACTAGTACCGTAGCGCGACGTGTGGTATCGTTATCGCGATCCTAATAATGACTATAATTTTTGTATACATTTTGTATATATGAACATGTATATTTTGTCATGATAGATACCTACAATTATTCTAAAAATATATTTCTTTAAAATATTTAATTATTATTTTTACTATCGATGAGAATTATACTATATTTCATTTACAGGGTATTTTTCAATTAGGTATTTGTAATTTATTGAGACTTTTACTTCAAAATTCTGGGGTGACAAAATACTGGGTTTGAGAATTCTGGGGTGGCAACTGCCACCCCTTGCCACCCCCGAATTACGCCTATGCTTAATAATAATATTTTTCCACTAGTTTACAGCCCGATACATATTTAGGGGAGTTGATACGGTGTATTATATCAACGAAAATGACTTCACAACTAAAAATCTCACGCCCTATAAAATAGTCGGAATTTGTTAATTTATTTTTTATTTAAAAGAAGAAAACATTTCTCAAGTCGGATTAAAGGCCGAATTTTCATTTTACTTTAAATAGTGGTAAAAAAAATACGTTTGAAAAAGAACAAATATTGTGCATTATTTAAATCCATATTTTAGCTTCTACAATTTTATAATTTTTTAAATCGGGTTTTGATACAGCCTGCAAATTTTTTTCTTCTTTTAAATAAAAAAAAAAAAATTAACGAAATCCGACTATTCTACAAGGCGTGAGAGTTTTTCCGGTTAGACATGTTTTTGTACTAAAAACGCACGGCCCCACAGTGGTCAAAAAACTAAAATAGGTGGCCAAAAATCATTATTTTAAATATTAGAAAACTTTAATTTTCTAAAAATAAAATGTTTGTACAAGTCCTATTGTATTTAAAAATATTTTTTTTTTTTGACAAAACACTAATTTAAGTACATAAAATGCTATATATAGCATAAATATAATGTTGATAAAACATCGATGTATTGTAAATAGTCGAAATATAATTAAGATAAGTTCTCTGTTAATTATGGTATTAAATTGAGTGATTATCGTCGGTACTTATAAAATGTGATATGAGATATATATATGTATATATATAATGATAGATAAAGGTACGTGAGCGTGTGTACCATAATATATTTGATAAAATATTATTCATAAAACTAAATTAAACTTATATGTCATTAAAAACGTAGATATTTAGTATGTTTATTCATCGAGTTACACGACGAAAATTATATCAGTTCGTTGGGAATAGTCCAGTGAACAATACTAAATAAAAATTAGCTGCGCATATTTGCGCTATTTTTTTTAACCAGTGATTCAAATTGCGTGTATACCATTTTGGTATTATCTTTCTTTATAGTGAAATAATATATTTATTTTTAACCATTGCTTTATTAAATAAAATTACACGTGGAAATATTCATGAGTGTATATTCACAAATAGTACTACACATGGTTGATAAACATAATATAAAAAAACTGCTCCCAGAAGTCGAAGATCTTTTGCTAGATATTAATTATTGCAGTGATGAAGAACCAGAATACATTTCAGAAAAAAAATAATCATTAAAATAAATTGTAATATATTTTATATCAATAAAAATGTATTTAAATGATAATTGTATATTTATAAATATCATAGTTTCAGCTATTCATTTTTGGCCACCTTTTTTAGTTTTTCGACCACTGTGGGCCCCCTTAAATAGATTATTATTTTTATAATTTATATTATATAGAATAAGTATACAGTCGAATCCGCTTAATTGGGACACATCGGGCGATGACCTATTTGTCCCCATTATCTCGACTTTCCCGATTAACCTAAGAATTTTACATACAATACATTCATTCAGGACTGCCATTAATGTCCCCATTAAGCAGGTTTCCTTTATAAGTGGCGACCTGTTTAAACGGATTCTACTGCATAATATAATTTTTATATAGATTACACATTTTACGCGCCGTCCAACTCCATCCACGTCAGTCATCATGAGCCACCAGCCGGTCGAGGCGGCCACGGTGTCGGTGTGGCGACGGTTCTGGAGTGGCATCACCGTCGAGCCGGTGGTCGCGTGCTACATGACGGCGTTCACGATGGTCACGCTCACCGTGTCCAACCTGAACATGCAGAAGGCATGCCGCGTGAACCTCCAGCTGCCCGACGAGACGTGCGAGGCGCTGGTGACGAAGACCGCGGGCGGCTATCCGGCCAGCGAGGTGGCTGTCCAAAAGCTGGTCACCGGCATGATGATGTGGCAAACGTGCGCGCAGAACATTCTGCCGTGCGTGCTCATGCTGTTGGTGGGTGCTTGGAGCGACCGGACCCGGAAGCGCGTTCCTTGCATGCTGTTGCCGCTCTACGGAGAACTAGCCCGGAACGCGGGTCAACTGCTATGTGTCTACTACTTCTATCAGCTGCCCATGGAGGCGGCAGGAGTCGCCGAGACGATACCGCTGGCCCTGACCGGTGGCCAAACCCTGATGACTATGACCGCCTACAGTTACATCGGTGACGCCACTTCGGTCAGTACGTTTTAATACAATTATTAAAGATTTAGGGTTTCAATAAGTTATTGACTAAAAGACCTTAAAATTTTACAATTATAGTTATCAATATATGCGAAGTTTTTTATTTGAATCCATAGTGTAAGTACGTGATATATAAATGTTGAAACTTACAAAATAATTGCTTCTACGTCGTCTGCCGTGTCTCGTAGTTTTTATCTTATTCTGATTGGCAGTTTTAATCATGGTATCGTTCACCAACCATGATCTACCGAGATAATATTATATTATTCGAGATATTGGCCTGAGATCAACTTTTGGACAGGGTACGACAGACGACGTAATTGTGAACCCGCGGGCTTAATTGATAATTTATGAATAAATCATAGCTTAACCCAGTAGTTCCCGACCTCTTTTACTCTAAGCCCCTAGGAAATTTTGAAAAATCTCACACCTCTCACTTGAATTAGTGTTTACATGACCCATTATTTTTAAGTGATACAAAATAATTATATTATATTATACAACTAATGACTTTATCAAATTCGAAGCTGGTATATCAAATCAATTCTCCATGGTGGCATACTGGAATGGGGAACCTTTATAGTTTATTGTCTCGAAAAAATGTTCATTTAAATTTATTCGAATTGAAACTTGGCTCAATGATAACATTAATGATTACAAACTCGGTTTTGATTGTTATTAGTTAATACTTATTTTGTTTATAAGTAAGTGCGATATAAGCACCTACTTAAATGTTATAACGAAAATGGTATTGATTAAGTTTCGATAAGAGTTATAGATGAAATTAAATACCTATAACTAAAAACATAAAAAAATATAGATTCCTATTACCATATAGTTTAAAGTACCTATACCATTTTACCATTATAGATAAATAATTGTTCGTGAATGTCATCACTGGTTCTGCAAAATTTATATTCGGAACTTCTTATACTTTACCTATAATAGTCCTATCGAAAATCGATTTGTATAGAATACATGATAAACCCCACAAATATTTTCGTATACGATAGTAACTATAGTTCTCCAAATATATATTGAATAATAGCGATAAAAATTATTCCCTTCAATAGTTCAATGAGACCAAAAATTGGTTAATGTGTATAGAAAAAATAAAAAAGCTACTTATTGTTATAATTTGAATCTATAAACATACTTTGATGTTTACATTTATTTTAGGTGGGACAACGAACATTTAGAATTGGGGCATTGAATGCTGTTATGGCTGTATCTATGGCTCTCGGAACGTCAATGTCCGGCATAATATATAATAAGTTAGGATTCTACGGAGCATATGGTATATCTTCCACTTTGATTATAATAGGTCTGTTGTATGGATTATTGTTTGTCAAAGATGTGACGCCAGTTACGGAGGTGAATAAAAATAAATCATATCGAACGACCATATCAGAATTTTTAGACTTCAAACACATAACCCAGTCGGTCAATACTACTTTTAAAAAACGTCCAAACAAACAAAGGATTAGAATTATAATTTTACTAATTATATTCATGGCAAGTGCTGGTATAAATGCTGGTTAGTATAATTGAGACGGGTTAAAACAATATGTTTGAATAGTAATATAAGATTCTAAGCATAGCAATGAGTGAATTGGTTTTACAATGATTTTTTGTCTGTGTGTCATCAACATTTGGGGTAGGTAGTAAAAATCGACATCAACATCTTTTCTGATAGAATGGTAAACTAGTTGGTGCATTCAGGTGATCGAAGTTAGAAATTTCCAGTAGTTTTTGAAAGCGATCTGATAAACAACAAAAAACCAATTTTACACAAAATCAATTTTATTTTTTTGGTGTACCTAACTTAAAAACTAATAACCACAGACACTTGAAATAATCACCAAATATCTGTATTAACAATGTCCATAGATAATATGTTGACTCTTTTTTAGCTATTTTTAGCCAAGGGGAAATTGTATAAGTTTATTTAAAATTCTTGTCGATCAAAATTTTTTCACTAGGTAAAAAAGTTTAAAAATTTAATGCAATGTTTCTCATAAGTTGCTGTCAGTAGTTATAGCATTTAAAAATTATTGAAGATACATTAACATGATTACCTATTTTTATATTTTATATTCAAATTTTGACAAATTTCATCAAAATCCTGTACATTTGCAAATTGTTTTCAGTTAGAAATTCACAAAAGTTTTTCTATTTATAGCAAACATGAGACATTTTAATTATCAATTTCCCAAAAGTTTTCTTACTTTTCACAAAAAATAAAGTTTTTTGGAAAGTAAAATAATTTTTTTAAGAGGGGAAAGGGCAAACAAGTATATTTTTAAATGTTTAATTTAATTTTACATAATTTTGTTAACCATTAATATATTCGTTAGCTATGGGCCGGTCAGGTTAGGTTAGATTGCCGCCCCTTGGCTACGCCCTTAAATCAATTACGATGACACACTCGAAAACTGCTGTACAGGAGAGCGGTACACATTTGTCCACCTTTTAGATTTTGAACTAAACGAAGAAATTATTGTTTTCTATAATATAGAATAGGTAACTAGTTTTTAAATAGTTAACAGTTTAAAATTTGTGATTTTTTTTTATCCCGTGTTACTTTGGCACAGTTCTAAGATTTAAAATTGAATTTATTCAAAATTCGAAATATATCTAGTAATTAATACTATCATTTATCAGTTTTACTGTTTCGTTATATAGAAATAACGATAAGACAATATTACAATATATTATTCAATCGTATTTGTCACCATTCAAAAGTAACACGTTTGATACGTGAGTGTGATAAATCCTTGTACTAAATTATTGATTTTGAGTGAATTTAGTCAGCTTAAAACAAATACTTGCTTATATTGCTTCCATTTTTTTTATTCAAAAACTAGTCACTGACATACTTAAAATGATTAAAATCAAACTTTTTAACAAATATTTAATTATATGTGTTATTTACATGTAGGTATATATAGAAGTCAAAGTTACAGATGTTTCAAACAGTGTGAATCGAATTAATAGCTCTGCTATCGACATTATATTATAAAGCCAATTACCTCGCTAAACTCAAAATACTCTATGATTAAATAATTTAAGAAATGTTTTAATAATAGTCATTAGTTATACATTAGTACGTTAAAAACATTTACCTACTAACCTCATAATAGAAGTCATTGAAAAAATTAAACAATGAATTTTATTATAATTATTGATATAATATTTATTATTAGTTACTTATTTGTATACTTGTATAGGTTATCATACGGTATGTTATTTGTATACTCGTGTTCAATTCAATTGGAACGAAGTAAAATACAGTGTGTTTGCATCTTATGAATTAGCAATGAACATAATTGGTTTGTTTCCAAAATAATTTATAAATCCTAATAATATAAATATTTTCCAGACGATATTAACGAATTTATTTTATTTAAGGTCTTCTATTTACCACATTTGTCCTTAGTAAGCAATTTAAAATTTCCGATGAAATAATAGGAATGTTATCATCGATTAGCCAAACACTGGGTGCATTATTTTACACCTTCGCTTACAACGAATCCCTTTTCTATATAGGTAAGTAATGAAACTAGTTAATAGAGTTATTTTTTCATTACCTATTTTTATTTAATATGCTCATTTGTGTACAGGACCTCTTGTGAACATTTTAATCGGTGCAGAAAATATATCTACCAAATCACTGATGACAAAACTAGTACCAAACACTGAACTTAGTAAGACCTAATAACTTAACAGTTAACATTGATTATATTCAGTGATTGAAGTGGGGAAATAATACCGAGGGGATGACATTACACCACTTCTAAAATAAGTTTAGACATTTTCCATCCTCTCCTCTTATTTTGTTTAAAGTTATCCATCCCTCTTAGATTTTGAAAAACTAAATGTTTCTTTTAAATTTTAAATTTTAATATGATATTGTTGAACAAATAATTTTTGAAAAAATATTTACAATTTTAATGTTTGGTACAAGAAGTCAGTAGACAAAAATGACACTTACACACTAAAGATTTAATTTCACATCCTCAATAATCAGGAATTCCTAATCACTAATAAGTAATAGCTATAATCACAGAACAATAGTATATAATATAGGTGGCTGATAGATATTAGCACGATACGATGACAGCAGCAGCTGCTGCATTAGAGCTTATAAAAACTTATAGGAATTAACGGTATTAGTCCCCCCCCCAATTTTATTGATCCACTTCAAACAGTTCTTATAAGTACTTATACTTAGATTGTTTTTGTACAACTTTTATTATAATAAAATTATTAATCATAGTTTCCTGTGTATCATATTTTACTTCTTATGGTGAGATTATTAAAAATTATAATACAACATTTCTAAACTAAAAATATTTATTAAATTGTTAAATTAAAAATTAAGTTTTTAGATTTAATTGAAATATATAATTAATATATTTTGTTTTATTTAAGGTCAAATAGCAGCTATATTTGGCATTGCAGAAATCATGGTCTCATTGGTGTTTGGTCTCATGTACAATGGTTTATATGAAGCCACAATTAATTTTCTACCCAGTGCTTTTTATATGATCACTTTCATACTCAGCGCCCCGTCTATTGCTTTGTTCCTGTAATTAATATAATTATTTATCTAAATTAGTTTACATTTTTAAATTTTTAAGTTGTGTTTTATTTAAAGTTCTGTTTGCTAAAAAACCAAAAATATCTTTTTGAAATAAATAGGTACATTATTATTATTTTTTTTAATTGATAAATCAAAGAACATAAAATGTATGAAGTATATATTTTCTTGACTCGCACAAGAAGTAAACATTTTATATTCATACCAAACTCAAAATGCTTATTTTAATTTTTCCAACCTTGTCTGATTTTAATATTCAATGTGAGCAGATCTTTAATATTTATACTATCTTTGTATACTTCTATAATATTTAATTAGTCCATTGGTAGATTAAAATAATATTATGTCTGTTAAAGTTTTTGTTTTTTTGTTTAGATGGCTGTATATGAAGCGAAGAAATGAATATGAATACTTAAACGAGTCAAATGATGTAGTGCCACATGAAAAAAGTGCAAGACTAAAGTCAAAAACTTTAAGTAGTTCTAACTATGGAACAATCGTAAAACCATAGCAAAACTAACAAAAAAATGCGACTGATTTTATAATATATATATATATATATATGTATAATAAACAAAGCTAGGCACTTACTAGTTAGTTTCAATTTACATTAACTTCTTTGTAACTTAACTAGTTGAATTTAATGTGTAAAATAATCCAATCTATTATCTAACTCGTTAAAAACGATAAGTAACTAGTTTTTTTTTCATTCCAAAAATCCAAATTTTGGTAAAACTGCTGAGGGCCGACTACCTATCTAAAGCCATGATCTTAGTTTATTAATAATGAATATTGAGTATTTTTAATATTTTTAATTATATGATCAAAACATTTTTCTTGTCACATTATTTATTTTTGACTATTTATATTAGGTATGCCTATTTCTTTTAATACACGTTAACCACGAAGCCTATAGCTATAATCACCAATATATAAACATATACGAATAAAGAATCATACTGTTATTATAATTTAATGAATTATACTGTTCATATATTTCTTATTTAATTATACATTCCGTGTTCTAATGACTGATATTCCATTATTCGTTTCCGAAAAATAGAGGTTATTAGTTATTACCTACCTACTTAAAAGTTAAAACATTTTATCAAATTATCAGTTGTTCAATAAAATGTTTCTGTCGTCACCAATAATTTAAGTTAGATACCAAGACATCGAGTAATTAATTTATGTAATACCATTGATTATACATTGTATAATAGTTACAACTTTACTAGTATATTAAATCGTGGTCTGCACGAATCTATATAAATAAAGATATATTTCGTTGCCCGTTAAATGTACCAACCATAGGCGCCAGGTACATGGGTGCCCCGGGGCTCAAGCACCCATTAAAATTATTATGGGGTGCCGGGCACCCATTAGAATATTGAAAATGTATAGAGTGTATTTATATCCAAGTTTTGACAATTTTAGCAAACGACTATTGAAATACAATTCTAGCTGTGATCTTTTTCAGCACTTCGAAGATTAAAAACATTTTTAAGGTCTACAATGAAACAAAATCGTCTTAACGATATTTGCTTTATTGTTTGTCCGTCGTAATGAAGATATAGACATTGATAGCTAAGAGCTAACTCATTTATAAATTCAATTATAATAATAGGCAGGTACGTCAAAGCATATTTATTTTCTGAACAGTCAAATTAAATTTATTTTATTTTTTGTTTTACTTATTATTATTATTTATAAATAAGTTCCCAATTTGGTATACATTTATTTTGTTGTATAATTAATATATTTTATAATCAATGATGATCGCATATTTCAGTGTACAACATGATATATATTATAATTTAATATTTGTATATACCAAAAAAATCCATAAGAAAATGCAAACGTTTTTGGTGAAGTAGTAGAATCATGACACCTATAGGCGAAATTTGGAGAGCCAAAATTAAAATTTTAGGGGGTTAAATTGCAACTAGCCCCACCTGAAAAGACAATTCCATTTTTTAAATTTTACGGGGAAATTTGTCTTGACCAGTGGCTAAGCCCCCTCCCCCAAAATTATGTATTTATGCCTATGTTAGTATGATACCAATGGTACCAAGGCACCCATTAAGTTTTTTGAAACCTGGCGCCTATGGTACCAACTCTATTGGAGATTGAAAGCTTATCAATTATCACGGCGACGGGCAGTGGATATTTAACTAGTAAAATAACATATAAATGATACAAACCTTCCCCATTACATCTTATCACTTTCAATCGCCAATATGACTCAAACTTTGTTCAATTGGGTATGGTCGAATGCCACTTATTTTAGTCGAAGTGCACTTATGTTTAAAAAAGTTAAGTAAGGGGTAAAGTGCAAACCTGATTTGCTTGGTCTCTTTTTGGATGGCCAAGACGTGTTTGTGGAAGGTCAGTTTAGAGTCTAAGGTTATTCCCAAGTATTTAACCTGTCGGCTACAGGGAACTGAGTGAACGTTTACGCGAAGTTCTTTTAGGTTACCAGGCGTTTTATCACCAAACACTAAACAGTATTGCAACAGTCTTCTTCGGGTTGATCGATATTCTCCATTTCTCTAACCAGGATATCGATCTGTTTATTTGAGTTTGCATTTTTCTATTGCATGGTTTTTGCTCATGCTGGAGTATAAACAATTTGTGTTGTCAGCAAATAGATTGATTTTTACCCGGGATTTGTTGGTATGTCGTTGATATATATACTGAATAGTAGTGAGGATAAGCAGGAGCCTTGTGGGACTACTGCTTTTTTAATACTCCGGGGGGGGTGTAAATGATGCTAATTTAACTGCAAAATTTTGATCTGATGGGAAGACCAAGACTTTGATCAGGTTTATGATTTGAACTTTTCAATTTATGGTTAAGAGTTTGTACAGAATGCCTTGATGCCAGACTTTGTCGAACGCTTTCTCAAAGTCAAGAAAAATGGCCGATGTTCTTTCCGTCCTCTTAAAGTTGATTGCCAGATCATCAACAAGTTTGGTTAGTTGAATCGTTGTGGAATGTTCTGGAAGAAAAGCTTATTGCTCCAGTCGGATAAAGGGAGAAGCGTATGACTTGAGAAGTTTAATATTAGAATCTCGAACAGTTTCACCGTTGTGTCGAGTAACGAGATGGGTCGATGGTTCGCTGGATCTGTTTTTCATTTCCCCGGCTTCGGAATCATGACCACGTTTTCATGTTTCCATACACTAGGAAAGTGGTATAGACGTATTCAGCTGTTAAAGATTTAAGTGAGATGCAAAATAGTGCGGTTGGATGCATGTCGAAGGGTTGTGTTGGGTATCCCATCTGAGTCTGGTGCCTTTTCTTTGGAAGGGTTTTTATGATGGATCTGACTTCATTTGGAGTAATAGGTTGTATTGTTGGGGGGTAGAATTTGGTAAGTATCTTTAGTTTTTCCTTTACTATTTGAGTAGTCATGATGTTACTAACTGGGTAGGTGAATTGAGTTTCAAGTGAGTTAGAAAATAGTTCAGATTTGGTTTCTTGATCAAAAACAAGACCGTATGGACTAAAAAGAGGTTTTGTGGCCGCTTGCTTGTGTGTTTGACTTTTGGCAATGTTGTATACTTTAGGGTCATTTGGTTTCAGGTTGTCTAGTAGATTATTCCATTCTTCCTCGCGATGGACTAGAAACATTTCACGAACCACAACAGTGTGTATATTCAGTCAGCGTTTTGCATCAGGATTTTTGGTATGTTGCCAAATTGGCCAGAGTCTTTTTTTCTTGGTAATTTTAGATTTTAATGGCTTGAGGTAGGTCTTTGTATGGTTTACAAATGCAAGTGGTGGAGTTGACTGAGAGTGCTGAATTGAATTTGCTGAATTTTTAAAGCTGTTGTCCATGTACAGGGTGTGGAAAAGCCGACTGACGACTATATGAGCTCATTAGCCTAAGATAAGATAAGGGCAGGCCTTTTTTAGTGGTATATTAACACCATTTTTAGTAGTAATCATTGTATGGATAGTTGTACATCGTGGTTTCGTCGTGTGTGCGTATTACGAAAATATCATTCTGTGATCGCTACACAAAGGGCTTTTCGTATACACATCGGCATTCCACGTGCCGAATCTATTCCTTCTGCTTACACTATTAAATTTTGGATACGGCAATTGGAAGAAACTGGAAGTACCCTAAGTGGACTTGGACACGGAGCACCCAGAACGGTAAGAACCCCCGAAAATGTGCAATTGGTTAGAGAGTCAATTGAGCAGTCACCAAGACGCACGCAAGCAGTCACCTAACCTTACCAGGAGACACCACGGGGAGGTTGGATCATAATTGTTTCTCTAATTTTTTTTTGTTGGAACTAGTTTAAAAATATTTTTTGTATTATTACATAATATTATATTAAATCATTGGGTCATTACAAAAATAGTAAATCTACTTAATTCAAAAATCGTATTTTCTGACATAACGTGGACCTCAATGTCATAAATATTTCCTAATATTATTGTCAAGTTTAAATTTATTATTTTAGATTCTGAGTGAACGATGAATGTATTGATTTTACAATGATGTGTGTTTTTTTTTTTATTTTTTTGTATCTGTGTACACGATAAGTAGTCGAAATAATGCTTCGATTTTCGACTTCAGTATCTTGTTCGATTGGAAAGTGAATATCGTTGGTGCATTGGGGAGGTCAAAATTTAAAATTCCCAGTACTTTCCAAAAGCGCCAAGAAAAACAAAAGAAAAATTAAGGAAAACGGAAATTTTTACGCAAAATCGATTTTTCGGAAAATTGAATTTGGTTTTTGGTGTAACATTAAAACAAATGACCGTAGGTACATGCAATTTTCACTGGTGGTTTATATTTGCATCTTCTATACACGATAACATTTTCAAAATATTTTGATTTATTTTGAACAGTTTAGGGACATTTTCATTTTTCGTTTTTTTTAGTTTTTTTTCTAGAAATATCAATAAAATTTTATTTGTTGTTTGCGAAAGCTTGAAAATTTAATAGAAGGCTCCTAATATATTGTTTCAAAGGCAGATGAAAAATATTAAAAATCCTTCGTCACAATTTTTTTTTATAAGCATTTAAAGTTAAAAAAATTGACAAAATATGGAAAAATCACGAAAATTAGCAAATTATTTTGAGTTAAGAATTCGTAAAAATTTTTCTTTTTAAATCTAAGATTTGAAAATGAAACACAAGATTCCTTATAAGATTATCTACCTTTATCAAAAAAAAAATGTCTATAAGAAAGACAAATTAAATTTTTATGAGCGTTTGAAATTCAAATTTTACAACATTGGATATTCACTCGATTTCTCATATAGCGATTTCCTTATTTTGTTGTAATTCAAAAACGAATAACTGTAGATACATGAAAATTTCACTGAATATTTAAATTAGCATTTCCTATACACCATACAATTTTGAAAATGTTTTGACTATTTTTGAGCTATTTACGGACATTTACCGCTTTCAATTTTTTTTAGTTTTAGATTCTGAGCGGAGCCATGAATGTATTGGTTTTACAATGATGTGTGTTTTAGATTCTGAGTGAAACGATGAATGTATTGATTTTACAATGATGTGTGTTTTTTTTTTAATTTTTTATTTTTTATTTTTTTATTTTTGTGTCTGTGTACACGAAAAGTAGTCGAAATAATGCTTCGATTTTCGACTTCAGTATCTTGTTCGATTGGGAAGTGAATATCGTTGGTGCATTGGGGAGGTCAAAATTTAAATTCCCAGTACTTTTCACAAGCGCCGGGAAAAACAACATAAAAATTAAGGAAAAACGGGAATTTTTACGCAAAATCAGTTTTTGACAAAATCGAATTTGGTTATTGGTGTAACTCTAAAACAAATGAACGCATATACATGAAATTTTCACTGGTTGTTTATATTTGCATTTTCTATACACGATAAAATTTTCAAATATTTTGATTATTTTGAACTCTTTAGGGACATTTTCATTTTCCATTTTTTTTTAGTTTTTTTTCTAAAATATCAATAAAATTTTATTTGTTGGTTGCGAAAGCTTGAAAATTTAATAGAAGGCTCCTAATATGTTGTTTCAAAGGCAGATGAAAAATATTAAAAATCCTTAGTCACAATTTTTTTTTATAAGCATTTAAGTTCAAAAATTGACAAAATATGGAAAAATCACGAAAATTAGCAAATTATTTTGAGTTAAGAATTCGTAAAAATTTTTCTTTTTAAATCTAAGATTTGAAAATGAAACACAAGATTCCTTATAAGATTATCAACCTTTATCAATAAAAAAATCTCTACCGGACAGTCAAATTAAATTTTTATGAGCGTTTGAAATTCAAATTTTTACAACATTGGATATTCACTCGTATACTCATGTAGCGATTTCCTTATTTTATTGCAATTCAAAAACGAACAACTGTAGATACATGAAAATTTCACTGAATGTTAAATTAGCATTTTCTATACACCATACAATTTTGAAAATATTTGACTCTTTTTGAGCTGTTTAAGGACATTTACAGCTTTCAATTTTTTTTAGTTTTTTTTTCTATAAATATCAATAAAGTTTTATCTGTTGGGCCAAAAAGTGTAAAATTTAATACAAGGCTCCTGATATATTGTTACAATAGCAGTTGAAAAATATTAAAAATACATAGGCACAGTTTTTTTTTATAAGCATTTAAAGATCGAATTTTGACAGAATTTTTCAAAATCTCGAAAATTATTAATCATCGTAATTAATAAATTCTAAAATGTTCAGTTTTTATAGCTAAGGATTGAAAATTTAAAACAAGATTCTACGTAAGTAGTTAATTCTCTTACCGAAAATTCTAAAAAATATACAATCACAGTTTATTTTTATAGTCATTTTATGTTCAAATTTGGACGAAATTACATATTAAAAAACCTAGTTATTTTTTTGTGATTATATAATATTATTCGTGGGTACCTACTTGAAACTTCTAAAGTGTACTATTATATATATCAATGATAGTATCAGGGTTTGTAATTGATCTTGATGTATAACGTGTTATAAGTACCTAATGGATATTGTGATAATGTGATATATGATTAATTTGGAATTTATTATTGGTCAATTTTTTTTTAATACCATAGATAAGTATATAATTTGTCTTAAACCTAGACTGACATACCGTCTTCGCTCAGAATCGTTTTTCTTATACATGATATTGTATCATTGAATTCAAATTTAATAGCATCCATTATACGCAGTGACCCACTTGTAACCTACAGTACAGCAGAGCGACATCCACTTACCCACCTTTTTTTTTATATTTTTATATTTTTATATTATTATATTTTTTTTTGTGTCTGTCATCACGTTTTGGGACAGTAAAAGTGCTTCGATTTTCTTCAATAGTACCTTTTCTGATAGGAAAGTGAATCTAGTTGGTACTTTGGGGGGGTCAAATACAAGATTACTCATAAGATTGTCTACCTTTATCAATAAAAAAATCTCTACCGGAAAGTCAATTAAATTTTTATGAGCGTTTGAAATTCAAATTTTTACAACATTGGATATTCACTCGATTTCTCATGTGGCAATTTCCTTTTTTTGTTGTAATTAAAAAACGAATTACTGTAGATACATGAAAATTTCACTGAATGTTTATATTAGCATTTCCTATACACCATACAATTTTGAAAATATTTTCACTCTTTTTGAGCCGTTTACGGACATTTTCAGTTTTCAATTTTTTTAGTTTTTTTTTTCTATAAATATCATTAAGTTTTATCTGTTGGGCCAAAAAGTGTAAAAATTTAATACAAGGCTCCTGATATATTGTTACAATATCAGTTGAAAAATATTAAAATACATAGGCACAATTTTTTTTTATAAGCATTTTAACATCGAATTTTGACAGAATTTTTCAAAATCTCGAAAATTATTAATCATCGTAATTATAAATTATAAAATGTTCAGTTTTTATAGCTAAGGATTGAAAATTTAAAACAAGATTCCACGTAAGTAGTTAATTATCTTACCGAAAAATCTAAAAAATATACTAACACAGTTTATTTTTATAGTCATTTTATGTTAAATTTTAAACGAAATTACATATTAAAAAACCTAGTTATTTTGGTTGTGATTATATAATATTATTCGTGGGTAACTACTTGACAACTTCTAAGTGTATTATTATATATTTATATATCGATGATAGTAATCAGGGTTTGTTATGATGTGATGTATAACGTGTGTATAAGTACCTAATGGATATTGTGATAATGTGATATGATTAATTTGGAATTTATTATTGGTCAATTTTTTTTAATACCATAGATTTGTATATAATTTATCTTAAACCTAGACTGACTTAACCGGCTTCGCTCAGAATCGTTTTTCTTATACATTGATATTATATCATTGAATTCAAATTTAATAGCATCCATTATACAGTGACCCACTGTACCTACTGCACAGCAGAGCGACATCCACTTACCCACCTTTTTTTATTTAATGTATTCGGGTTACAGTTACGTTTAGTTGGTACAACAAAAAATGTTGGGCTCGTCTTTGTTTATACTAAATTCACTACATTGAAAATTACCACTTATAATAAACTTTTACCATGGAGAGTTTCGAAAACTTCAGTAATATTCACATTCATGATTCTAACTGTTAAGTTAGGAAAAACAAATCAAACTGCGAGATACTGAGACTGAGTGATTGAATACTGAATAAAGTAGTCTAAATATATTTGTTAAATATATTATACTATTGACACAGGTGTAATTTTAGATTCTGAGTGAAACGATGAATGTATTGATTTTACAATGGTGTGTTTTTATATTTTTTTTTTATTTTTTTTTTTTTTTGTGTCTGTGTACACGATAAGTAGTCGAATAATGCTTCGATTTTCGACTTCAGTATCTTGTTCGATTGAAAGTGAATATCGTGTGGTGCATTGGGGAGGTCAAAATTTAAAATTCCCAGTACTTTTAAAAAGCGCCATTAAAAACAAAAGAAAAATGAAGGAAAAACGGGAATATTTACGCAAAATCGATTTTTCAGAAAATTGAATTAGGTTTTTGGTGTAACTTTAAAACAAATGACCGTAGATACATGAAATTTTAACTGGTTGTTTATATTTGCATTTTCTATACACGATAACATTTTCAAAATATTTTGATTTATTTTGAACAGTTTAGGGACATTTCATTTTTCATTTTTTTTTGTGTGAGTTAAGAATTCGTAAAAATTTTTCTTTTTAAATCTAAGATTTGAAAATCTAATACAAGATTACTCATAAGATAATCTACCTTT